GACTTGTTTATAAATTAAAAACTAATTCATAAATAAATCCCCAAATAATTGTTCACATTGTTTATGTGACAGAAGAATGGTAGAATAATTTTATTTCATGGTCATTAAATAAATTATTAGGTTTTATTTGAGGGTGGTAAAAAATAGCATGGAGTGCTCTTTTTTAAGCATGGTATTAGCTTTTTCAATTAAGAAAAAAAAATTCAGTACAGTACATGTATCTTACTGAAATGACAAGTTTGTTTGTTTGTTTGTTTGTTTTTTAAATAGTGCTAATGCAAACTTTGAGTACATATGTAATTTGACAGCAATAACTTATTAAATAGGCCTATAGATATTTTTTTTTTCAAACACCTGTATTGAAGTTTAATATGAGGGATAAAAATTATCCCCTGACTTCCCTTTTAAACTACTTTTATTTTCTTAAAATTAATTCTAGACTACAATTGTGTAAATTTACAGACCTCTGAAGACATTTACTATGTAGTAATTACATGACTGTATAACTATCTCTATTTATTTAATTTTTGTAAGAAATTAATACTTGTTTTTTTATATTTGCTTTTATCTTAAACACCTCTCTGCAGAAAGTAAACAAAACAACAACAAGGAGCTGCAAATTCAGAATACACAAGTGGCGGAGCTATCATGTCACTCAGATCCTTTTTCACGCATGGGTGAACAAAGCAGTCCCAGAAAGCAGTCCCAGGGACTGCTGGGTCTGCTTTCTAGAGCAGTCCCACAGCGGTCCCATAGCGGTCCCAGAGCAGTCCCACAGCGGTCCCAAAGCAGTCCCACAGCGGTCCCAAAGCAGTCCCGGGGACTGCTTTCTGGGACTGCTTTGGTGTCAGGTTGGGTCTGGTTGGTACTGTATGTTGTGAACTTTTTTATCTCAGTGTTGCAAATTCTAATTCTTGAATAAAATACATTGAAACCTATGCGTATTGGTTCTGTTTGGGCTATTTTTTTTCTGTAGAATGACTAGCGCTAGACGAATCATGATTAAATGACCTTTTGGGTTTTTTTCTTTGTGTGCACCTTGGTTTTGGTTTGATTCTATTACATTCTTACAAAACATTTTCAGTCATGTTGGGTTGCTACTAGTTGTTGATGAAAGGCTGCCAATTTATTCATGTATTAAGCACTCATGGACTTTGAGCATAGGCGCTTGGGTCAAGGATAATGTATATTTTCTATATAATGTATTGTCGAGGAAATTCGAACTATGTTCGTAACATTTTTTCAAGCGCACAGTGGTTATTTTTAGTTTTTTGTAAATTTTTCTGCTTTATATACACTAGAATATCACAGAATTTGATATTATGCACGTTTTAAGAATGACATATTCCTACTGTATACTAAAAAGAAACAAGGCTTGCAACTGCATTAGCCCCTTTCCGTGCCCCCGACACGATTTTTTCCTTTTAAAAGTTATATGCAATGCTTACCAGCTGAATTGAGAACCCTCTTCTCTCCAGATAATTCTTATATAATGATAAAAATCCTCCGGTAACAACTTTTCACCCATTTCATATTTTTAAATAATTATTTTCTTTCAAATTTCGCTCGTTTAATAGTATTCTCTAATCACGGAAGTTCCCGAATACTAACATCCAAAACCCAAAACGGGCGACCAGTAAATTATTTGACAGTTCTTGAAAGACGCAAGGCTTAGAGTATGTGACGATTGAAACTGTCTAAAACTTCATTCCTTATCACTGACTATATTATTTTCTTATTTGCATCCTTAATCAAAGGAGTTATAGTTTTAATTTAGTGACGGGGGGGGGGGGGGGGGGGGGAGGGTCGATGGTTATGTAAGTCCAAATCTTTTCATTTGTTTTAAAGTGAATTACGATATCAATCTTTATCAAGAATAAATTAAACATTGCGGCAATTGAATAACATTTAGACTTAACATTGAAAAATAAAGTGCAAGCATTTTCTTTTACACGGGCATGCAATTGAAAGAAAATAGCAATGCTGATGTGAATATCAAAGGAATTTACGACTAAAATGAAAATATGTTTTTGCAAAATAACGTGAATCTTTAAAAAACCGTATTTAGAAAACAATTTTTTTCCTCTAAAATATTGGTTTAGCGCAATGTAAGAAACAGCTGAAATTGTTGGTCTTAATCGTAAGTTCTTCTGTAAAACGGACCCTAGGTCAATAATCGCAAAGAGCCGGGTTAAAAAGCAAATTTACAAAAAAAATCGTTTGTACACAACTTGGATAGAAGTTTAAATCACAGGTTTTAATAAGAATGGAAATTAAAATTTCGAGCTAGAGAACATTGAAGAAATCATATATGCATTGATATATGAAATTTCATTTTAAGTGTGTGTGTGTGTGGGGGGGGGGGGGGGGGGTAACATTGCATTTCAAATCTCATTCTACATTAGCTTGTACATGTATTGCTATATAATATGTACCGTGAATTTTATATATTACAAACAAGAAGTCTCGTTTTTGAAAGTGGAGCAGCCAAAAAATTATTAACAAGCAAACAAAATACCTGTAAAACATTTTGAAAACAAAACTGCGTGAAAAACTCTGTCATGCAAAAAATATAAAAATGGAAAACTGTCTCAACGTAAAAAAATATGTATTTCGTGAGAATGGTGTGGGTGCATTCTCTCTCCTTAACAGTAAAAAAAATTAAGGATACAATGAATATGGCAGCAAAATGTGTCTGCATGCGTGTGTGCAAGAGGGATGAGGAGGGGCGCTTAAGCGGCGTTTCAATGAAAATCCCATACTACGTTAGGGGTACACGTGGGTGCCACGAACCTGGTTCAGTCCTCCTTCCAAAAAATATCATTGATCAAAGAGTGAATTCTGGTGCTACTACTTTTTTTCTTTGATCTGCTATTATTAGTGGAATATTATGCGAGTAAAAATAATATATTTTAACTAATTACGTGTCAGATCAAGATTCTTTTTAAATGAGTTTCAATCGCTATATACGTTGGCGTATATACAGCCTTCGGATCTTCTGGATCTTGTATGTGAATCATGTTACATGTAGTAAAAAGAAAAACAGTTCTCCAAACTTGTTCATATAAACTTGCCACATTGTTTAATATATTCTCTATAATGCATGCACGGATCTAGAGGGAGGGGGATCCCGGAACCCCCCCCCCCGGAATTTGCAGAATTATAAAAAGTATATACTGAAGCAAATAAAAAATGACTTTGGACATCCCCCCCTAGAAAACGTGTACCCCACCATCACCACCACGGCAGGCCCGTAGGAAACAATTTCAGGCACAGCCATACATTTTTAGTTGAGGGGGCACTACCAAAAATTTTCCGACAAGCAAAAAAAAAAAAAGGTTATCAACTACCAAAAATTCCTTGACAAGCAAAAAAAAAAAGGGGGGGGGGGCACAAGCATATAGTGTCTAAGTTTACTATAGTAATCTATACATCGGCAAAATTATTGGGGGCACGTAATTCACTTTAAAACAAATGAAAAGATTTGGATTTACATAACCATCGACCCCCCCCCCCCGTCACTAAATTAAAACTATAACTCCTTTGATTAAGGATGCAAATAAGAAAATAATATAGTCAGTGATAAGAAATGAAGTTTTAGACAGTTTCAATCGTCACATACTCTAAGCCTTGCGTCTTTCAAGAACTGTCAAATAATTTACTGGTCGCCCGTTTTGGGTTTTGGATGTTAGTATTCGGGAACTTCCGTGATTAGAGAATTAAACGAGCGAAATTTGAAAGAAAATAATTATTTAAAAATATGAAATGGGTGAAAAGTTGTTACCGGAGGATTTTTATCATTATATAAGAATTATCTGGAGAGAAGAGGGTTCTCAATTCAGCTGGTAAGCATTGCATATAACTTTTAAAAGGAAAAAAATCGTGTCGGGGGCACGGAAAGGGGCTAATGCAGTTGCAAGCCTTGTTTCTTTTTAGTATACAGTAGGAATATGTCATTCTTAAAACGTGCATAATATCAAATTTCTGTGATATTCTAGTGTATATAAAGCAGAAAAAATTACAAAAAAACTAAAAATAACCACTGTGCGCTTGAAAAAATGTTACGAACATAGTTCGAATTTCCTCGACAATACATTATATAGAAAATATACATTATCCTTGACCCAAGCGCCTATGACTTTGAGCAGTTAGGGATCTTTTTTGTGCAAGCATCTACTCCAGCATGGGTCCTCAGTTTATACGGTCTTATCCAAAGGAACGGTCATCACGTCAATCAGTCGGATTTAAGGATCAACTTCTCGAAATTGCCGATATCTTCATTTCAGAACAGCGCCCTCAAATGACTCTCTTGCATGCACACTTATTTCCCTAAATCGATTGCAAACCTTTTATGCGCTGATATTTAGGTTGGCGGTTACCGATATTGGTAATAAAAGCTGCCACAACAATGATTTCAACAAAAGTGTCGCGCCTAGTGGTCAATTAGTGCTTTGGCATCCGTACCCGGTCCATTACACTTCCGATTGCCATAATTTTATAGAACAATCTTGCAATAGTAGTATGGTATTATTAAACGCCGTGTCCACAGAAGACATTATTACATTCCTTAATCTAGTTACAGAATTTTTCAAGCAATATAAACAAGAAATTTTGAATTGTTTTCATTTTTAACAAACATCTCCAAAGGAACATCCTGCAGAGACCATGTCAACTGCCCTACCATGATCTTCTATGGTCAGATGCTGCATATCCAGTCATGTTTTTCTGAGTTTTAATGAATGCAAACATAAAGAACGCATTTTCAAAGAATAGGAATGTATCCCTTTAAATTTGTATAGATTGTTAAGCTTCAGATATCATTTATTTATTTACCAGTTAGTTTTGACATTCAAACATGTTATATTTAATCATTTACATATTTTATATATCAGATACGTCTTGAATAACTTTTGAAAAGGAAAAAATAAATTATTTATCTATGATGATGCGTTCGCAATTCTGTCTAGTGAACACTTACGTTTATTGTATTCTCTTTTCAGTTTACGCTACATACATTTCAAAAATACTTGGTTCGCATTTCCTTGGTAAAACTTGAAAAAAATGATGAGCTCTCCGTTGTTGAGTTTCCTATCCAGGCCACAACTTTCATAGCAGTTACTGCTTACAACAACAAAGACGTGACTGTGCTGAAGATTAACAGCAATCCGTATTCAAAAGGATTTCGTTTTCCGGTGAAAAGGTACCTTATTTATTGCAAAAATATTTGATTGAAGAAAGAAACAAAATATCTAATCTGTAAGAATTTTCAAATATCGAAATTTTTATTAAATCTCTACAAAAGTACACATATATATGAGAAATAAGCTCCAGAGAACAATATGATTTTGTTAAGCTTTGCTCTGGAAAAAATGAATTTAAATTTTAGACTAACAAAAACAGCCCTTGAACAAATTGATTCTGAAGAATTAAGAATGATGGCACGTGAGGATGGCAAGAAAGGTTCAGTGAATAATCCTATCAGAAGGGAGATCCAAGCTTCTACACAGTAGGTTCTCGTATTTCGAAAATTAATGCATTTCAGCAATGTATGACAAATTCAGCAAAAAAAAAAATGCAAGAAGTGGGGTCAGGTGCCTGGGTCAAGAAGCTAAAAAAATTTTAAAACAAATTACGAGTGACGCATGACAAAAGATGAGAAAAGTATAAATGTGTAATCTAAAAGACGTGCATTACATGGCATCTTCTCAGTGTAATATTAAGCTGTAGAATAAATTTGAAATGCCGATAAAATGCCGAAAAACCAATATTTCGCTAAACAAAATGAAGGGCTGAAAAAATGTCAAATATTACAAAAGATAGGCGGAACTGTTTACTTTCATATTTATTTAAGTAATATATATATCCCAATGAAATTTTCATGCAACAATCAAACTGATTTCATTGATAACCTCCCTTTATTAAAAAAAATAATTCGAACCCGTCTGACCGCCACATTCCGGTCTTCGGCCCCCGAAGACACCAACCCAGACTCTTCCATGGCAGGTCTATCACCTGTCATTTCCAGGGCATGGCACGGCACCAAATGTAACGGGAGAGGAGAAAAATGCAGCGGACCAGACATGGATTCGAACCCGGGCCCCCTAAATCTCCAGTCAGGTGCTCCACCAACTGAGCTATCTGGCCACCGGCGATCGAACCCGTCTGACCGCCACATTCTTCCCTCCTTAAAGGTCTTTGGCCCCCCAAAGACTCCAACCCAGGCTCATCTCCCTTGCAGGTATTTCACCTGTCACTTCCGGGGCATGGCACGGCACCAAATGTAACGGGAGAGGAGAAAAATGCAGCGGACCAGACCGGGATTCGAACCCGGGCCCCCTCAATCTCCAGTCAGGTGCTCTACCAACTGAGCTATCTGGCCACCGGCGATAGAACCCGTCTGACCGCCACAGTTGTATTACCGATACAAAGTCTCAACAGTGCTAATTTTAATAAAGAACGCTAAAGTCTACTATTTATCTGCTATATATCCATTAAGTCAAGGTGAGTTTATTTCTTGTTGGAACTTCTGGGTACCGCGAGAACGTAGTTTGCGGCGAGATGCAATTCGCAAAGCATTATGGGACCACAGGTAACTGCGGAAAAAATTGTTTGGATCAATGTGCAAAGTCCGAATTTTCTCTTGGCCCAGGCGTTGCTTTAACAGCTCGCTGCGCTCGCTATTACCCCCCCCCCCCTCCCTCAACCTTATTTCTGACATTGCTGACAACAGAAATCTTCTCTATTTCAAGAACAATGGAGAACATTTTATTCTTTCCTATTATGCTGTCTGTGGTAAGGCCTTATTAACAAGCCTTTTTTCGTGTAAAATCAGTAAAATCAATCTTACGCAGAGTAAGTAAAATATAAATTCCTGTGCATGTATATTTCACTCACTATCTTGATATGTATGTAAAAGCATTACATACACAAAAACTGCACTATTTATACACATGAAAATCATAATGTGAAAATGAAATTAAAAGTGGTGAATATTATGCAATACATCAATAAAAAAACATACTTAATTTACATTTACTTTTATAGGTCAATCGATAGTGATGTGTTTTGAGAAGAAAAAAAGGAAACATCGTTTATTAATCTTCACTTTATAACATGGCAAGAATCACCGTCTTGCGTTGACATTTATTATTTTACGGGAATAAAACATGGCCTAGCGATATGCAGGTTTCCGAAGATAAATATAGTTTGAGATGCGCGCGAATTTCTAGCGTGCATACGTAAGAAGTTCAACAGTAGAGATGTAAAAAATCCTTTGATGTTGCATATACCATCTTTGTTTATATAGGTTCAAAATGATCATCGAGTGTATAAGAAAAATTTCTACCTTGATTAATTTCTTCCAGTATAAAGATATACATGTATTTCAAACAACAAATCAGGTAATACCTCTATTTATATTTCAGTTATTCTCTGTTTATTCTTTGATGGGGAATGTGGGGAATTCTCGTTAATTCAACTACGAGGGTTGTCCGGTAAAATCGTTGACAAAGCGTTTTTATCGTAAAATAATGGGCGCACTTAGCTGAAATTTTCAGCAAATGATTATTTATCTTACAGTGTATTTAAGTACATCATAACGTTTTGATAAAATGAAATATTTTAATATTTAATTATAATAATATAATAATAATAATATTAATAAAATTTTATTTTAATGAAATAAAATGAAATAAAATGAAAAAAAATAGAAAATTAATAATGTATTGAATGTGTAAAGGGTACGGTTCTACGGCGCAAGATAAAAAAAATGCACGTTTTATTAGAGAAAATGCGAGTATTATTTCGAAATAAAAGTATTACATACATATGGTTGGGGTAAAAATTATCGTATTTGTTATCCATTATTATGTTCCCCATACAAAGTTTAGGAACATATTGTTTTTACTCTGTTTCTTAAGTTTAGGAACATATTGTTTTTACTTTCTAATTATTAAGGTCTTACGTTCCAAACGGAAGACATTAAAGTAATTGTACTGTTTATTATTAAGGTGTTCCGTCTTAACGGAAGACCTTATAGTGCTTCTACTGTTTCTTATTATTATTAAGGTCCTCCGTCTTCTAAGGAAGACCTTCTTGTTATTCTACGGTTTTTTTTTCACTTTCATTAGGGTCTTCCGTCCTCAGCGGACGACCCTTCTATTATTCTTATGTTTCTTTTTCTCTTTTCTTATTATTATGGTCTTCCGTCTCCAACGGAAGTCCTTTCTATTATTCTATTGTTTCTTTTTCACTTTTGTTATTTTTTTATCTTTACAATTTTTGTGCAGAAGATTTCTCAGAGTTTGCTCGTTCGATTAATTTGAAAAAAAATTAAGGGAAGATTTTTCTTTGAACCTTATAAGTTTTTCTCATTTTTTTTTTTTTTTTTTTTTTTTTTTTTTTTTTGAAAGTCACTTCTGATCGGAAGTTATCGCCCTTTCATCAAAATTCAGAGGACCTCCTTGTCTGCATTGGAACTCAAAAAACGGCTAAAGCTAAAGTGCTGAAATTTTCAGGGATGATAGAGGACATGTTGCCATATTGCACCTGGTTTTCATATTTTCTGGAAGTGCCCAGTGTGGAAGATCCGTAGGGTTCGAAATTTAGGAAACAAATCATGAATTAATTTTCGAGAAGTTTTGTATCATATCTATTAAACTATAATTATTTTGTTAAAACATACTGAACAATATTTGTGTAAAATGATGTTCTTTTACATGATATCAGGAAAAAGGGGCTGACACCTCAAATTAGGTGTTTAGAGAGGTAAAAAAAACCTTGAACTATGACTCTTTAGCAATCAATATTTTGTTATACATTACTGAAGCAAAAATATTCATCTTAACAATCTACAGCTACATAATATGATATTGACGTCATATGTAACATAATTAGGGGCCATAAGGGGCTAGAATGCTAAATCTTTTACACTTTATATCTCAAAAGTAGAAAATATTTTGATAAGCAATATTGAACAAAAGATGTTCAAAATAGTGTTCTCAAAAATATGCTACCTTTCAATTTGTGCTTAACGTCCCCATTAAGGAGGTGAAGGGCCGGCCCCATAATATTTCTTTTGCAAATATCTCGAAAACGAAAAAGAATTTTTGAGTATTTGTTGATGAACAAAAAGTGTTTAAATTCATAAGAGCTTGAAGGCGATATAAAGAAAAAGGGGCTGGCCCCTCAAAATAAGGGTTGAGAGGTGACGAACATCTTTAATCAATGACTCTTTAACGATCAATATTTTGTAATAAATTACTGAAGAAAAAATGTTCATTTTAACAATCTACAACTATATGTTTTGATATTGATGTCAAATGTTACATAATTAGGGGCCATAAGGGGCCAGAATGCTAAATCTTTGAGGCTTTATATCTCGAAAGTGGGAAATATTTTAATAAGCAATATTGAACAAAAGCTGTTCAAATAAACGTTCTGAACAATATGCAACCTTTCAATTGTTTTAAACGTCCCCATTAAGGAGTTGAAGGGCCAGCACCCTAAATATTTTTTTGCAACCATCTCGAAAACGAAAAAAGAATTTCTGAATGGTTGGTGAAGAGAAAAGTGTTTCAAGTTATAAGATCTTTAAGGCGATATAAAGAAAAAGGGGCTGGCCTCTCAAGGTAAAGTCCTAGAGGGACCGAAAGTCCTTATTCAATAATTCTCTGACGATCAATATATCGTTGTACATAACTGAAGCAAAATTGTTCATCTTATTAATCTACAACTATATGTTATGATATTGCCGCCATATGTTACATGATTATTGTTACATAATTAGACCATAAGGGGCCTGATTGCCGAATCTTTGAATTGGTGAAATATATCTCGAAAAGGAGGAAAAATTTGTAAAGCTATATTGAACAAAAGAGGTTCTCAATAATGTTGTAAGCAATACGCAATCATTCAATTTTTGCTAAACGTCCCCATTTAGGAGGTAAAGGGCGGGCCCCTTAATAATTCTTTTGCAAATATATCGGAAACGAAAAAGAATTTCTGAATAGTTGTTTAACAGAAAGTGTTGATATCAAGAAAATGGGGCTGGTCCATCATGTAAAGGACTAAGAAGAGCCAAAAGTCTGCAGTCTATTACTCTTTCATAATCAATAATTTGCTACATATTCCTGAAGCAAAACTGTACGTCTTGACAATTGATTTATATCAATATATAGTAAACCTTAGTCAAAATCTTATCTCATCTGATCAAATTATCTGACGGAAGACCCACTGGTTGCTCGCAACGAGATCAGCTCTTTTTTTTTCCTTACCGATTTTGTTCAGAAGACTTCTAGGAGATGGCTCGTTCGATTTTCTTCACATTTTCGCGGTTGATGTGATATTATCTGAAGTTAATACCGGTGTTATATAACATATTGAACCCCGCTGCGAAATATTGAACCCCTTTATAAAATATTGATCCCGGGGTTCAAAATATAATGGCCATAATATATTGAACCCGGGTTCTATATATTGTAGTCTTATGGCCATAATATTTTGAACCCGG